CGAGCCTCGCCGTAATGCTCCTGAGAGGCGCGCACCGAGAAACCGCTCCTCCCCCAGCGCGTCAATCCCGGCGGGAGCCCCGGCCTCCGAAGGCGGCCGCGGCCGGCGAGAGCCCGGGGGAAGGACGGAGGGTGCGGGGACCGGGTCGCCAGCCCTGGCCGCTGATGCGGCGGAGCCTGCACGGCGGGGAGGTGGCGGCGAGAAGCCAGAAAGAGGCCAGCGACCTGGCGAGGCAAGAAAATAAGAACTGGAGGCGTGGGGGAGGCTCGGCTTTCCCGAAAAGGAAGAGAAGGAAATGGAAGGTGGGCCGCAGCGTGCTAGTGGGGTCGTGTCCCCGCAGCGCCCGCTCCGAGCAGTTCAAAACGCTTTCTCGACTGCTTCGACCTCGTGAGGGGGGCCCGGCCGGAGGAACCATGGTTTTCCTTACAGAAAAGGAGCCAGAAAGACCTTTTCTCTTGCAGAGCTAACAATAGTAATAGCGGACTTGTGGTGTTCAGCCACGCACTGGATTAAAGTTCTGCACACTTGATCTCAATCACACAGTAGTACGTTGGATACCTGTTTTCCCCTCTTTTACTATTGGAAAATCTGTAGTTTGGAGCCTTAAGGTCATTTGGCCGGAGGCCCTCACTGAGTCAGAGGCAAAGCCTCCCTTAGTCAGATCCTTAACTTCCTGTCTACGCTGTGACCTCTGTGGAAGACAGTGTATTTGTGCAACCGTGCTCGTTCCTCTAGCACACCGCTTTTATTTATTTGTTTTAGAGACAAGATCTCACTGTGTTGCCCAGGCTGGAGTGAAGTGGCTATTCCCGGGCCCTGCCATCGTGCGCTGCAGCAGAGAACTCCTGGGCTGAAGCCGTCCTGATCCTCCTGTCTCACCCTCCAGAGTGGCTGGGACGACAAGCTTGTACCAACATGCCTTCCAGGGCCTTTAAATACAGTGGAACTCTATAGTTGACCCAGTTTCCATAGACCAGACACGCACCACATGCACGGTAGCCTCGTTCTTTATGGTGACCACCTCTGTATGTTTACCACTTTGTTACAGCCTGTCTGGTCCTCAGCTTACAGAGGCCTTACTGTACTTGTTTACTGGGGGACAAGATGGTCTATTAAGAGTGAACATATGTTTAGCTTCTACCTAAGAGTAGAGCACACCTCTGTTCCAAAGAGGGGCGAAGGTGAACTAAACACTTTTCTGCTTTCAGAATATTTCAGTCCGTTTTTCATCTTTCCCTTTTTTCCACTGGGAAAGATGAAACAGCTGCTCAAAGAAGTATAAGTCAAGGCTACCCCCGTACCTATACGTCTGTGATAGGAATTGTGTTTGGCCACTTGCTTGCTATGTGACCTTGAATAAGTTACTTATCTCTAAAATGGGGGAAATAATTATACCTACTTGAAAGAATTGTGAAGATTTATAGCATTGACACAAAGTTCTTAGAGCTTACTCTTGGTAAATCCTGGATGTATTAGCTGTTGTTATTATCTCTGTTGTTATCATTATTCACTCTGCCCTTCAGCTTGTCCTAGTTCTTGATCGTCCCTGAATCGGCTGTCTGCTCTCATCCTCCCAGCCAGATGTTCTACGGCTTTATCTCTGCTCTCCAAACATCTTTTCACTACTCTCGTGGAGAACTGACCACATTTTGCTTTGAATAGTTCTTTGTGTACATGACTCACTGGTTGCCAAAGTGCCTGGAAGGACCTTGCGTGAACTGTGCAGCTCACTGGAAACATTCAGAGCCGGAAGACGACAGGCAGGACCAGGCTGTAGGCAGGGTGTTCAGAGTCTCCGGAACACTCCACGCAGAAAGGGCGGCCCCCACCTCTGGGGAAGAGCTGACCAAGTCCCGTGTGAGCTGGCGTGCCTGCCCCACAGAGGTCTGATCTCAGGGAAATACATGGAACTTGGCAATGGGAGTAAAAGTGGAATTGGTCTAGCTCAGTTGCACCCCACACCACCCCAACACACACGCACACGTCTCAGCCCCTGGTAGTAAAGTGGAATTGCTCTAGCTCAGCAGCACCCCTGTTCCCCACAGCACCCCCAACACACATGCACACACATCTCAGCCCACGGTAGTACAACTGGAATTGCTCTAAATCACTAGCACCCCTGTTCCCCACACCACCCCCAACACACGTGCACACACGTCTCAGCCCATGGTACTTCTATGGCTCTCATGTTCCCCAACCTCCAGTTTCAAGGGCAAGCATGTGGCCTAAGCCTGGCCAAGCAGAGCAGCCCTGGCCTCTAGCTGCTGTGACTGGTTTGGAGCCAGACCCATGCAGCACTGGGAACTGCCTTTGCTATACCAGGGGACTCGGTAAAGAAAGCCTATGTGACAGTGAAGCCAAACACAGTGGAGAGGAGAACAAAAATTGAAAAAATATAGCCCTTTATAACATGATTTGAACCTTGGACTTTGCAATTACATAAACTAATATACTGGCTGGCTGGCTGGCTTGCTTTCTTTGTTTTTTTGCTACTTTGGGTTGAGTTTTCTTTCATTAGCAATTAAAAGACCCTGACCTGGTGCAGGCCTTAATTTATTTAGTCAACTAACATTTATTAAATACTTACAATACTAGGCCCTGGAGATACAATAATAAATAAGACATTATCTCTGTCTTCAGTGAGTTTAGAGTCTGGTTGAAGAGATAAGTAAATGGTACGTTATGTGCTGAGATAGAAAAAAATTTAGGAAGCTATTTGAATACATAAAAGTTCTCAATAACATCAATTCTCAGCATTGGGTGAAAACTACATTGTCATAAAAAAAAAAAAAATTTTTTTGTTGTTGCAGTTTTTGGCCGGGGGCTGTGTTTGAGCTCCTCACCTCTGGCATATGGGGCTGGCACCTTACTCCTCTGAGCCACAGACACCACCCTAAAATGTTTACTTGATATGCGGCGGCAGGCTGGGCACAGTGGCTCACACCTGTAATCCCAGCACTGTGGGAGGCGGAGGGAGGTGGATTGTGGATTGCCTGAGCTCACACGTTTGAGACCAGCCTGAGCCAGAGTGAGACCTGGTCTCTAAAAATAGCTGAATGTTGTGGCAGGTACTGGTCCCTAGTCCTAGCTACTAGGGAGACTAAGGCAAGAGAATCGCTTAAGCCCAAGAGTTTGAGGTTGCTGTGAGCTATGAGGCCATGGTACTCTACTGAGGACAACAAAGTGAGACTCTGTCTCAAAAAGAAAAAACTGATAGGAGGTGGTAAAAATTGCATAGAGTTTAGTCCCATGGTTAGTCTTGCAGAAAGGCTGCTGGAACTCTGAGAGCATCAGAGGCTGGGCCATTGGCTGGGATTCAGGACCCAAGTTCCCCACTGATGGGGAGAAAGTACTTTCCCAGGACCAGGGAACAGTTTGGCAGAGGAGCCTTAAAACAATGCGTTTTAGGTAAGAAAGCCTCAGAACAGGTTTCTCATTAGACATAAAAGTGTACTAATGTCTCAAGAAGATGACTCAGGAATAAGAAAGGAAAAAAGTCCTATAAGTTTCACATTATTATATAAACTCAGGTTTCCCCCCTAAATAGCACAAGGAGGGCCTGGTCAAGGCCATAATACAGAAGAATAGAGTTTTCAATGTCGTGAAAAATAGCTGTCCTTGCAGGTGGCATGTGTGTTTGTTCTCTCTTGGGATTTTGGGAGGCAGAGGGCGTGATTGGGCTTTTATGAAGCACTACTGGTTCATACAATAAATCAGCAGTGGAATTACTGTAGCTCTTACTGTAGATCTAGAAGCTTTTAGCAAGGCCTCCAGCTAGGACATGACACCCCAAACTAAACCCTAGTTTGGTCGAGATGCATTTGCTTGGCCTATCCTCTGTCCTCCCCTCTCTTAATACTTACCAAATGTAATTTTGTCAAGGGGCAATTCAGGGCCCCTAACCTGGCTGTGCTTCACAACTGGTGGCACCCATGTTTAGTCTGATGTAGTGGTCACTGCACTATGGATCTGCGTACCCAGGAGATTTGATCCTCCACTGTATTTTCAGCATCTACTGCGCTGCCCAACCCGTTAGAATCAATAAATGTTGAGTGAATAAACGCCATGGACTAATGCATTTTCAGATCCTGCCCTAATTCACATTTCCCCAAAAGCAGTGCTTGAGATAAGGACCCAGATTCAGGTAGTCGGTTTGCAGAAGTGAGGTTGAGCAAGAGAGAAAGCCAATAAATGGTACATCATTGAGGTGTTACCACCGTGGGCAGCTGAGGCTCAATCCTGCCTGCAACCTTCCTGAGGTACAGAATGCACCTAGGATTTTCCCTTCGAGGGGGGATATTTAGCTAATGACTGCAAGACCCTTTGGCTGGAGGCTTAGCCTTGGGACATTAACTGCAGTTCCTCATGCTGCAGAAAGCTAAGAGGCATGGGGGGTGCTTCAGGTGGGCAGCCATCAGTGTGTGTGAGAACTGTCCACCCCAGGTGCAGGTGAAAATCAGAGAATGGGAATGAGGTAGGGGCCCTGATAGCAACCATTAGAGCTCTCCTGAAAGCGATGCAGACACTGCCATGCTGATCCTGCAGGAACAGAGCATGTTTGTACCTCATGGTTCGGCTGGTTTACAGATCTGGGAAGACCCAAAAGGCCAGAGCACCTCAGCCAAAATAGCCCATCACACAAGGTTGGTGCTCATGTTAAAAATGGGTCCACAGGCTCGGCACCCATAGCTCAGTGGTTAGGGTGCTGGCCACATACACCGGGGCTGGCGGGTTCAAACCTGGCCTGGGCCTCCTAAACAACAATGACAACCACAATAAAAAAATAGCCAGGTGTTGCGGCAGGTGCCTGTAGTCCCAGCTACCTGGAAGCCTGAGGCAAGAGAATCTCTTAAGCCCAAGAGTTTGAGGTTGCTGTGAGCTGTGACACCACAGCACTCCACCAAGGGTGAGATAGTGAGACTCTGTCTCAAAAAAAAAAAAAAAAAAAGAATAGGTCCATAATGTCTTTTCCGAGTGAGTTATTGTATGAGTAGGACAAAAAAAGCCCCAAACTCACTTTCTTCTGTATCCCAACATGCTTCTGACACCAGATGTGTGTTTTTTCCTAACACATCAAGCTCATAATCAGTTCTGTTCTGAATATTAGCTAATTGTCTTCCAATTTGATTCCAATCTGCCTGGAAATAGCGTCAGCCCCACAGAGTGAGAGCTCAGGCCCACAAGACTGCCCCTCTTCCCAGGCCAGCCACAAGCCCCAGGTGGGTCTGCCGGTGCTTTTGACTGGTAGACTGTAAACTGGGGCTCCCACAACCTGCTCCTTGGGTTTGAATAATTTGCTAGAGCAGTTTATAGAACTCAGGGGGACACATGTACTAATTTATTACAAAGGATATTACATAGGTATAGTTTCTAGCATACAAAATTGGAAAGACGCATAGGCAGAGCTCATGGCAAGGGGCATGGAGCTTCTACGCCTTCAGGCGTACCTCCTTCCCGGAGCCTCCACTGTTCAGCTTTCTGGAAGCTCTCTGAAGCCTGTCCTTGGTGTTTTAAGGAGATTTCATACTTAAGCATAATTGATTAACTCATTGGCCATTGTCATCAACTTAACCTTCACCTCTCACCTCCCAGAAGGTTGGAGGATGGGGTTGAAAAGTCCCAACCTTCTAATCCTGCCTTGGTCTTTCTGGTGACCAGCACCTATCCTGAAGCCAGGGGCTGCCAGCCAGCACTCCTTTTATTAGCATACGAAAGACGTTTATTGGTTTGGTGATTGCAAGGATTTCAGCAGTTTTATGCTGGAAAAAAGATGAAACCCAAATATATATTTCATAATATTACAGCTACATTTCAAGATAGTCATATTCGATTGGGTGACATAATTTTTTTTAATTTTGAGACAGGTTCGCACTCTGTTGTGCAGGCTGGAGTGCAGTATAACAGGGTCATAGCTCACTGAAGACCCAAATTCCTGGCTCAGCGCCTGTGGCTGAAGCGGCTAAGGTGCCAGTCACATACACCTAAGGTGGCGGGTTCGAATCCCCAGCCCGGGCCCACCAAAGAACAATGATGGCTGCAACCAAAAAATGGCCAGGCGTTGTGGCGGGCGCCTGTGGTCCCAGCTACTTGGGAGGCTGAGGCAGGAGACTCGCTTGAGCCCAGGAGTTGGAGGTTGCTGTGAGCTGTAATGCCACGGCACTCTACCCAGGGGGACAGCTTGAGGCTCCATCTCAAAAAAAAAAAAAAAGACCCAAATTCCTGGGCTCAAGCAATCCTCCTGCCTCAGCCTCCCAAGCAGCTGAGACTACAGGGTTGACCACAACACTTGGCTAACTTTAGAATTTTTTTGGTAAAGATAAGGTCTCTGTTGCCCAACCTGGTCTTGAACTCCTGGCTTCAAAGGGGCCTCCTCTTTTGGCCTCCAAAGTGCTATGATTACAGGTGTGAATCGGCACACCTGGCCTCAAAGTATTTTTTTAATACAGGAATTTCCTAGCCGTCCTTTAAGGTTGTCAGCTCTGTACGATTTGATACACTTACTTTACCTGCATTATGCATTTATAAATCATAGATCTGGAAGGAACCTGAAAGCTTATCTGGTTCGATTCAAATAATAAGCAGTGAACAGAAACCATCCAGGAAGTGGCAGAACCAGGTACAAAACTCAGGTCTGTCTATTCCGTTCAAATATTATTTTCATGACTCCATGGAATCCATTCACTATTGACTTACTCACTGAATAAATATTTTTTAGGGTTTGTGCTAGGCCTGGCGATATATCCGTGAAAGAGAAAATAGTTCTTGCTCTCCAGGAAGTAACAGTTGGTAGGGGAGCAGGGGGATGTAGAGAGATAAACAGACAATATTTTGATAAACCTATGCACAAAATACTTTAGGAATGCCTAAGAGGGACCCATCACTGATTATTGGGTGGTCAAGAAAAGGTTCCAAGAGGAAGTGACGGAAAGGACAAGTGGAAACTAGCCAGACAGGGAACAGGCCCTCTGGGCGGTGTAAACAGCAGGTGCAGGTGTGCTGAGCTGTGAGAGCTCGGAGTATTCTGAGACTGCCGCTGGTTCTGTGTGGCTGGAGCTTGGAGAACAAGGTTGGATTTAGAAGAGAGATCCGAGAGATAAAGCAGGAGCCAGCTTCTGAAGGGTTGGTACACCAGGCTAAGAAACAGGAAGTACAAAGTTGGACAATTAAGTTCCCAATCTCATCGTAGTGAGTGCATGGAGTGCTGCACCCCGAGCTGCTGAGTATCACTCTGCTCACCTTCAGAACGCTCCTCTCGGCACTCTGGTGACTGCAGTGAGATATGTAGCACTTTTTCTTTTCTTTTGTTTTTTTGAGACAGAACCTCAAGCTGTCCCCCTAGGTAGAGTGCCATGGCATAGCTCACAGCAACCTCCAACTCCTGGGCTCAAGCTAGTCTCCTGCCTCCGCCTCCCAAGTTGCTGGGACCACAGGTGCCCGCCACAACGCCTGGCTATTTTTTTTGGTTGCAGCCATCATTGTTGTTTGGTGGGCCGGGCTGGAATTGAACCCGCCACCTTAGGTGTTTGTAGCTGGCGCCTTAGCCACTTGAGCCACAGGCACCAAGCCTGTAGCACTTTTTCTAAGATGAGTTTGGGAGTTTAGTTGCCCCGCCTCGTATGCACTGAAGTAAGTGGCATGGGAAGTGGAGGATGACAGGGAATGATATGATCAGATTAAAATTTCAAACACCTAGATATTCAGAGAATAGTAAGACTGAGGCTGGCTGACCAGCAAGTGTGTCCTTTCTGCCTCCATGCTGACCTCTAATAACCCATCACCTTCAAGGATTTCCATAGTATTCAGTTTCTGCCAAGTCTCCAAAATTTAAAACTGATAACAAGGCCAACCAACGCAGAGTGGCTTTCTACTCTGTGCCTTTAAAGTAGTTCCTATTTTAAATTGCACTCGAACTTTATGGTCACCCTGTACATAGTATCTCTTTGGAAACTAGGAATTAATTTGTTCCTGGATCCCAGGTAATAACCAATCTCA